ACCGTACCGTACGATAGTAAAATAAGTTATATATATATATATATATATATATATATATATATATATAATCAAATAAAATATAAAAAAAGTATACTTAAAGCAAGATTAAAAAATCACATCCAAAATGAAATTAAAAATTAATGAAAAAAATGTATTTTAATGAATCGAATTCGTGCCTAAAGGTATTTTTAGAATTTTACAAAAAAAACAAAAAAAATATAAAAATGAGTGTTAATGGGCAAAACGATTTTCAATCTTTGCCCAAATGAAAAAAATACATTACAAATAAAATCCCTTATTTTTTGAGATTTTATGTACTTTTTAAATTTTTTTTTTTTAAATCCGACTGATTCACCAAAACCGGCCAATAATCAATTCTGATCTAAATAGGTCCACCCAAACGGTATTTGAATCCCCCCAATTTTCCTACATTGCTTCCCTCACATTAGAAAAGACGAAGTCATCACTCAAATAGTGGGGATAGAGAGATCATCACTATTTTTTTAGAAAAAAAAGAGCTAAAAATAAGTCCTAGATTTTATGAAAAAAAAAATCTCGATCTCAAATCTTACTAAAAAAACTTATAATTTTGAAAAAACCTTTCATTTTCAATATTGGATCGCATTTTCAAATTACGAAATTTACAAAAAATTATTAAAATTGATTTTAGAGCTATCGTAGAGAATTTTCATGTCTAAATATCCGTGGGACGAGGTTTTAAGATGTGGATTTAGGCCTTATCCTGAACAAGGATTAGAGGATAATAAATATTGGAAAAGGGTAATCAAAGAGCCCAAAAAGGAGATAAGAAATAAAAAGCAAAAAGATACATGAGAGAGAGAGGTGATGGAAATTAGAAGTTTAATATGCTTCTAAAGAGAGGTATTTGACTATAATTATCGAAAAGGAGAGAGAAGTATTTGACTATAAATATGGAAAAGTAGAGAGAGAAAGACCATTTATGTCAGTACGGAATAGAGAGAGGGTCCCATTTGTATTAGAATTTAGAAAGGGCGACTCCCATTTGCATTTGAATCTAGAGAGAAAAAATCCATTTGTATTTGAATCTAGAGAGAGAGAATCCGATTTGTATAGAGAATATACATTTGTATTTGAATCTAGAGAGAGAGAATCCGATTTCTATTAAGTAGGTATAAGGAAAGTGGGGAAGTATAAACTGCGATGAAAAATACGAATTTAGGAAAGTTGCTAAACTTATGAGTTGGGGATTTGACTAATTCCCACACATTAATATTTGTTTTACAACTTAAAAAGGACGCAAAATACTTTTAACAAACTTAACAACCCCTAGCCCCCACTTTAATCTTAGAGGCTTCTGCCCTTTTGCCGCCTCTCTCTCTTCTTTCTCTCTCTTAAAAAAGGACAATCACTCCCTCAAAAATCCCAACCCTCCTCCCCCCACTTTTGCAGGCCTTCCACCCACTCACTCAACCCCTCGCTTCAAGCAACCAGAAATCATTCTCCCCCACAAAACATGATGCCATCTCCATTCTCTGTCCACCCTTTCTTTTTCTAGTTTATTGCTCTCTCTCTCTAGATTTTCTCCCCTCTGTCTCTTTCTCTCTCTTCCCCCTCGCAATGTGGCCGCCGTGGGGGAAGAAGACGAGTCGCCGGAAAACCCAATCTCCGGCCTTCTCCTCTCCTTCTTTCAAAGACGTCCAGAACCTCACAGAGCCTCCACCGCCAGAAACTTGCAGGAAAATTACCGTGTTTCATAAAACAGCCACTTCGCCGGCGAGGATCTCTACCTCCATAAGGCGATGGGCCTCTCTGCCCTTCCTCGGACTCTCGCCGGAAAGTCTCAAATGGCAGGAAAATATCTCTTCCTCCAAAAGGTCGCCCAGGCAGAAAAACCCACCTCAGAATTGGCCGGAACATAAAAACCATCCCGAGATTTTGCCGGAAAATAACACCCACCCTGAGATTTCATCGGAAAATAAAAACCCACCTCAGATTTGTCAGGAAAATATAGTGATTTCACAGGAAGAGAATGACCCGCCCAAGACTTGGCCTGAATCACCGGGAAATACATTCTCCCCAAGAAACTCATCAGAAAAGCTCGACGGCTCACCGGAAAACGCACCGGAAATTTTCGAAACGTCAGAAAAGCCAGTGGCTTTATCAGAGGGAAGAAAAGTGGTCTTCTATTTCACCAGCCTTCGCGTGGTTCGAAGAACCTTCGAAGACTGCAGAGCCGTCCGCGTAATATTACGTGGCTTGCGGGTGGCCGTCGATGAGCGAGACCTCTCCATGGACGTCAGTTTCGTGGCCGAGCTCCAGGCCAAGGTGGGCTCGAGCCCAGCGCTCGAGGTGGGCTCATTGCCTCGCGTCTTTTTAGGGGACCTGTGCATTGGGGGCGCCGAAGAGGTTCGACAATTGCACGAGTCAGGTGAGCTCAAGCGAATGCTCGAAGAATTCGCGAGTGTGAGCGATGGCACGTGCGAATGGTGCGGTGGGTTAGGGTTTGTTATGTGCGGCACGTGCAGTGGGAGCCACAAGAGGTTTGTGAGTGAGAAGGGTGGGTTCAGGACCTGCAATGCGTGCAACGAGAACGGGCTCGTCAGGTGTCCTGATTGCCGCTGAGGAGATGGAAAGTGTTGTGCAGAGACGGCCATGGAAGGTTTCTCCTCTGTATGAGGAGAGAGAAAATAGACATATTGCCCACTTTTTCTCTTCTTCTAGAGAGAGAGCCTACTTTCTCTCTTTTCTTCGAGAGGAGAGAGAAAGTGGATGGTTGCCGCTTCCGATTTCTCTCTCTGGCCCTTTTGTTTGTCTCTCTTAATATTCTCCATATTCCCTTTTGATTTCATGTCATATGACTAATGGGATTCGGAAGGATTTGGGAGAGGAAGGAGAGAGAGAGATGTCTCAATTTTTTTAATTTTTTTTTTTTTTAAGTATTTTCTCACTCTGGAATTTTTTTAGGGCCATCAATTCAATTTTGAAGATTATGGCCCTTTGCCCATCTGGCAATGGGATTTTGGCAAAATTTTGATCCCTTTCTTCTCACACAACTAACAAAATTGATTGATACCTCCTATTTTATTGTTTTCTATGTTGACCCCATTCCTTTAACATGTAAGCCTCTCTCTCTCTCTATATCTCTTTCTCTCTCTAGAATGTTGACCCCTCTCTCTCTCTTACACACACATTTGAGGAGATCTCGGTCTCACCAGGCTACAATGCTTGTGCCCGAATATACAGGTTAGGTTAGTTGTTGCCTTTCTCAATTTGTGCAAATTATTCCCCTCTCCTCTCTAGATTTGAGGTGAAGGGCTCATTTCTCCCTTCCTTCTAGTCTATGTCAAGAAATAAGAAAAATGCAGCTATTATCTTCTATGTATATTATGTTTCAAATTTTGAGCTCTTAAAATACCACTCTACTTTTTTGAAGCCTTTGTATTAAATGTGAAGGAAACACCATTAAAATAGTTGTTCTGTCCAATATTTATTGTAACATTTTATACATGATTGCTTATAAAGAGATAAGAGTTTTGGTCTTTCTTCCCCTTCCCATGCTAGATATATTAAAAGGAAAAATGTGGGAACTGCTTATTGCAATTAAAATAACTCAAATGCAAGTGGATTCCACCAACCCTATGTAATGCTTGGTGTGTGATTTATTTTAATGAATGTATTTCCCTTGAAGCTGGCACCCTTAGTGGCCACTTCAAATCCCATGCTTAACAATAAATAGCAATATTATTTGATGATTTTCCCTCTCTGCCATCTTATTTGGAATGACCAAACAAAATAAGTAATTAAACACTTCTTTATATCGTGACTTGTAAGTTGTATAATTCACCCAAAAAACTTTTATATCAGGGACATGTTTGGTGAAATTCATGTGAGGTGGGTGCGGAGGTGACATTTGTCCTTCTTTATGTACAGTGTAAAATGGTACTTTGTAACTATTGTATTTCACTCACTTATTGATTGATATTCCATCTTTCACCACCTTAATAGTTACAGCTACAAAAGGTTGCTTCACATTTTTTTGGCAACATTTATCACATACGTTTATTTCGTTTTCTTTTTTTTGGGCCAAGAACCATGATAAAAATAGAATACAAATTAAGGGCATATTTTTGCCCCGGATACCTGATGAATCTCAACCTTGTCTCTATTGGATTAGTGATTCCATTGGTGGTAGCCTCACCAAGTGACAAATAAGTGCCCCATCTGAGAGTGATGTGTGGGAAAAATATAATTAAAATGTTTAAACTACCTCAAAAGAATCACTAGAGCATTAAAGTTAACCATTTTCTGATAAAAAGAAAGAAACAAAAAGAGGCTCATTTAGTAATATCATTTTACTCATAAAGTATGTCTTATAGTATTTTGTTAAAAATGGTGCGTTAGAATCCTGTACAATATGAGTATTTCGGTTATAACATAACAAGGGTCGGTGATTATAATGAAAAAACACATACTCCAAATCTATCTAATATAAGAAGGATTAGTTTCATCATTCGGCTCAGGTCCATTAAGTAAAGCCAATGATGTAAAAACTTATATTTTGAGCCCTTTAAGTTGAACCAAAGGATAATATTATTTGTTTGCACTCATAGGTGTTCATTCCCTTGAGTAAAACTTAAGGGATTGTCTACCAGACGACTTACTTTTTATATGAGGTGGTCACATTTTCTTGCAACCATTTGATGTGAAATTTGATAGATTGGATGTGTTACAAAGTTTGAAAAAATTTCTTTTGAAGTTTGAGCTTGGTCAATGGAATAATTGCACACCCAATTGCACATCAAATGGTCATGATTAATGTGACCACCTTGTATCAAAGGTGAACGGTCTCATTCTATACTTTCTCAAACAATGGTTGTATACAATGAGACCGTTTACCTTTGATACAAGGTGATCACAATTACTTACAACCATCCGATGTGAAATTTGATAGTTTGGATGTGTCACAAAGTTCAAAAAAGTTCCTTTCGCAGTTTGAGCTTGGTCAATGGAATAAATACAGCTACTCAAGTTCACATTCAATAGTCAAGATTAATTGTGACCACCTTGTACCAAAGGTAAATGATCTTATTCTATGCTTTTTCCTTATGTAATTTTGTTGATGCATGGTGCCAAAAGCAAAGCTTCACAAGGCAGAACCATGAAGCCATTAACCCGAGCCTTTTTGGCTCATATGCTGTTGGTTTTATGTACTTATTTACAAATCAGTCCCATTGGTATTACCTTTTGTATTGTACTTTGGTCACATGAAAAAGACCTTTTATGGAGGTCATAAACGTTCATTGCAAGAGGGAAAACATAAGAGAGTGAAGAGAAGTTATAGGAAGATAGAAATTAGGGTTTTTTTTACAAACCCTAGCATTATTGTGTCCTTGGGCCGAATTTCATTGGTATTTCTTTGTGGCGACATAGATAAAAGAAACGAGTCAATTGATTGGTTTTGTTGTAGGAAAAATCAATTTCAGTTTGCTTTGCCATTTTGAGGTAATATTTACAATATCCACAAATTTTAAATCTCCGCTATTGATAGTAAATGCATCCTTGCCACCTTGCCCATGGATATTGTCCATTTTGGGTGAACCATGTAAATTGGTATATGCTTTTTACTTTTGACTGTGTTGTGATTTGGTGATTTGGGTTAGTGGAATCAAAGACTGAAGCTCTTATGGCAACGGTTCGATCTAATGAATGAGGTGTTCATCAAGGAGTCATTCAAAAAACAATTCAAAATTTCAATCAAAATCACGAGGGCTAATAACAAGAATATGTGTTAGTTTTGTGGAAAACCTTGTCACATAGACAAGAATTGTTCTAAACGAAAAGGGGTGAATTCTTTAAAAGATCCTCAAGTGAGAGGTGAAAGACAAAGCAAAACTGAGAATCATGCAAATCAAGTTGGAGAGTCGGCATTTGGATTCATTGAAGAGGAAGTATTGGTGATGGCATACAATCCTATGTTTTATCAAAATTGGATCTTTGATAGTGGAACCACCCATCATGTGCCCACATCGATCATGGTTTGAACCATATGTCTATGAAAGAGAATCGGTATCCGTAGGTAACTTAGCTAGCAACGAAGTTGGAATAGGTTTGGTTTGTCTATGAATGTTTGATGGAATAGACATGTGCAAGAGCTAAAAAAGAGCTTGATTTATCTTTCTTCTCTAGATTAAAAAAGTTACAAGTTCACATGTTAAGGTGGAGTAATCAAAGTCTAAATTGAGAACTTATACACGTTATTGAGAAGCACAACAACAAACGATAAGGTGAATTAGAGGGTTGAAAGCAATGAACTTCCATTTCACTTATGGCATAGAAGATTGATGTATATAAATGATAAGGGTATGGAGGTCTTGATGAAGAGGAATCTTATATTTATGTTTAAATTTCATGGATTAGAATTTTGTTGTATCTATAAGAAACAACAGAGACAATCTTTCAAGTCTAGGAAACATACAAGTGTAAACTTGATTATATTCACTCGGATGTATGAGGCCCTTCACCAATTACATCTTATAGAGGTACATTACATTTTGTTTGTGTTGTGTTTTGCGCATTTAAGAATTTTAAAAGCTGAAGTTGAAAAATCTATAAAGCATCACATTAAAGTTCTTCAGGTGGATAATGGTGGAGAAATTGCATCATAGGAGTTCAAATTTTTTTGCAAGGCTGAGGGAGTTACTAAGCATTACACAAATAGCTACGATCCTCAATAAAATGATGTCATGGAGAGGATGAATCACACTTTGATGGAGTGTGAGAGGTGCATGTTAAGCAATGCCGGTGTAGAACAAGAATTATAGGTAGAAGCCATATCAATGATTTGTTATTTCATCACATGTTGCCCTCCATAGAATTGGGAAGCAAAACTCCTAATGAGGTATGATATGAAACTCCTAGTGATTCTTCTGATTGAAACATTTTTTTGTTATGATGCTTATGCACTTATTCCAAATCGTCAAAGGAATAAATTGGATTCAAGGTAAAAAAAACGAGAAAATATCTCCATGGATCCTATTTTCAACTTTCATTTCTTTTTAAACCCAAAATTTCAAAACCTATCTTCAAACCCCCCAAATGACTTTATCTATTTTTTTTTCCAACTTTTATCCCAAAGAAATTAAAAAATACATCTTTTCTAACTCTCTCTCTCCTCACATGTTTCTTTCTCTAGTTTGTCCACGTTCAGGAGCTCATAGGAAACCTTGGGTTTTGGCTGCAATCTGCATCAGAAACCTCTCTCCAGGTAGGCTAAGAACCCTAAACTGGAAATTTGTGGGTTCTCCCTGCAATTTCTAGCTAAAGTTTAGGTAATAAAATTTGTGGGTTCTCCCTACAAATCCCGATCAAGATTTCGGCCAAAATGGTAGTTGGCCAAAAAGATTCCTGCCAATTCAGCCTGTGAAACCCTAAACCGAAAATTTGTGGGTTTTCCCTGCAATTTCCAGCTAAAGTTCAGGCAATAAAATTTGTTGGTTCTCCCCGCAAATCCTGATCAAGATTCCGGCTAAAATGGTGGCCGGCCAAAAAGATTCCTGCAAATTCAGTTTGTGAAACCCTAAATTGAAAATTTATGGGTTCTCCCTGCAAATCCCGATCAAGATGCCGACCAAAATGGTGGCCGTGAAAAATAGATCCCTCATCACCTCACCAGAGAAACACGGTTCCGGCCACTGTATCCATTGAGCTCCGGCTACCTTCAAAACCTCAAAGTTTGAGCTTTCCCATGCTTGTGAAGCCAATGAACTTGCAAACCTCGAACTCTCACCATATACAACCCTCGGTGGCCCTGAACCTCTTGAGAAATAGTCTCATTTTTTCGGTGGTTGGAACATTTTCCGTCGGGTCAAGCCTTAAGTTTCAGAGCCTTGAACCTCTCGAGAAAAGAGATGGGGTTTATTTTCCGATGTCAGTGGTGTTTTCCTTCAGACGGGTCAGAGGGAGGGTGTAGTTTTTCGGTGAGTAGGTACTGGGGGAGGCATAGTTTTTCGGCGAGTAGGTGAGGGGGGAGATAGAGAGAGAGGGGTTTGGGAGGTTGATCGAGGGAGAGAGAAAGGGAATCACGTTAAGAGAGAGAGAGAGAGAGGGGTTTACAAACCATGTCTTTTTTAGGTTTGTTTGGGTCAAAAAAATTAATAAAATATGATCTGGGGGTTAAGAGATATAATAACATGAAATTCTATGTAGTAAGATAGGTTTTGCAACCTTATGTTAATGGAGAAATGAAAGTTGAAAATGGGGTATATGGAGATATTTTCCCTAAAAAAAATGTATCTTTGTAGGTTATAACAATGGTGTGAAGGAATACTGGTTATAGGATCCACATAACTAAAAAACAAGCACTAGTCGAGATATCCTATTTGATGAATCCAAGGTATTGGCAAATGGGTGATGAAAAAGGATAATGATCAAGAAATCCAAGAAGAGAGCCAAGAGTTCAATAGCAAATCCCAACTATGCCTTTTGATGAAGATTTATTGATTATGGTGAAGAACATGAAGAACTAGGAAATGAAGATGAA